CCCCACTTCACTGATTTCATCTCCTTGTCAAAGATCAGTTGACCATAGATAGATGGGTTGATCTCTGGATTCTCAATTCGATTCCATTGATCTATGTGTCATCTCTTGATCTCCTGATTGCTGGTACCAAGGGTGTTACTGGAACCCTAGGTAGCAGATAGTAACTATGCTTTGTCTAAGTGGTTTATTTTATTTTGAATATGCTTGAAATATCAAGACTATAAAAGGTATATACTGACAAGTTCTTTCTCTGTCCTCCATCTACCTCTTCTTAAATTGTCCAGAGTTCAGGTATTTATATAAAGCCAATATTAGTATATATTCTTCTTGAATTTCATTGGAATTCTTAAAGTTTATTTCAGTTAATATTTAAGAAGAAGTAAATGGATAGTAGATTTTCAATGGAATTTTAAAATAATTGATTAATTTGGATTTTCATCTTAGTGTAAATGAACGCTTACCTCATAAATGAGTTATAACATTTTCACCTGCTCATCAATAAAAGCACGACTGGCATCCACTTCTTAAACAACATGCCTCTGGAAACTCGATGAATTTTGATAAATGTCCATAGATGTAGAGGAGTTTCAGGCCTTTTGTTCATAGGGTCGCTATAAGTCGTGCTTGGCTTGACAGCCATCAACAATGACAACAACATCAATCAAATGGACATTTTACAGCACAGAAGTCATTTTATCAGAGTTGGACACTTTTTTCATAACTTAATTATGGGGATGCGCCATCCTGTAGAAAAAGTACATACAATACAGATTTGTTCCTGGCTAGGTAGGTAAATACTATGTAGGCCTCTGGCTGGATTCCAGGTTGGATTCTGGTGTATAATCTAGAGATCTGTCTCAATAGGAACTTTTGTACATGTAGTTTAGTGGATATTTAAAAATACAAATTAAGCAGGCATTTCAAAAAATGAAGCAACATTAAGCCTCGTGGTTTACTGAAACCATAAATATTGGGAAGAAAGAATTGCTTTTAGAATATTTTTATTACATGTGCATATTGTTTCATTTCTGTTCCAATTCATGTACTTTGTTTTCTTTTCCAAGAAGCCTTCTTCTAAAGACATGGCTGACTTCCCCGGCTCTGCCCAAGATGTCGCTCTCGATGACAAACAAGGTATGAAAACAATGGTTTTTCTTCTTTTAAGGCTCATTGTCCTGTATGTCACCATGTTAGAATGTGTGGGGTTTGAGTATGTGAACACATTTGGACTTGGCCTTGTTGTCGCAGAACCATAGTTCATCTAGTGTCAGCGGGAGCTTGGACTGCTCAGACCATCCCCCCACCCCCAACTCATTGGCTCTTGACTCATTGTTGACCCTCAGATCACTTGATACCTTGCATTGGAATCTGGTCAGACTAACTAGACAATGGCTAGACGCTAATGGAATTGAGAACTGAGTCTCTTGCACTGACACATATGAATACAGAACAGGATGAGAAGTACACCTTTGCATACACCTTCAACCATGCGGAAATTCCGTTCTGAGCAGCCTTACTGTTTCAGGGTTTTGTCTTTCTCTGACTGTGGGGCTGAGGCATGACGTGGAGACAAGCAGCAGTGTGTCTGCCTCACAAGTGTGGGAGAAGTGGCCAACCCGGAGTTCCGTGTTGGAGTTCTATCTCATCAAGCAAAGGTTGAGTTGGCCTGGATCTCTGTGGAACAGCAGGACGAACACCTCTTTCCCAACACTTTGGGTTTCTCGGATGTGCTCTACCAGGTCTTTCCTCCTCCACGGCTTTTTTCGGGCCTCAAAACATGGACTAGAGGCTGGGCTGTTTGTCACCTAACGTGCAAAGATCAGGAGATGGATTTCGGGCTGTATGAGTCATCTGCTTCATTAGTAAGATCAAGAACTGGGAAAAGTATCAAGACTTTCTAAATCTCGAGCCGAACCCCTTGTAGCTGATAACAGCTCACTACCTACAAAACGAGAGCGGCTCATCTATAAGAACTACAAGGAGCAATTTCGGCTTGGTTGTTGAGACTTGCCATTAAGTCAGCTTTTCACTGGAAAACTTCTTGAAAAGGGAAAAAAAAGAGGATGTTTTCTATTAAGAAAAAAAAATGCATTTGGCAACATTACTTGTTCTAGAGAGGCAGACATATCTGGCCATCATCTGCCCCAATGGATACTTGAATCATTTTTTAAAAATTTTTTTATTTATATGAGTAGTTTCTTTTACATTATATTTTGTTCATTGTAGAGTTCCCCCCCCTTTTAGTCATCTTATTAATAACTTCCTTCATGAAAATGTGTAAGCCGGCGACTTTATGTCTCATTCCCTGAGATCCCCCTTTCAGATGGTCAATTCTGATTTCCCCAGCCCTATCCAGTCAGTCCTCTGAGAGATAAGGTATATCGTGAAGAGTTCTCTATTCAGCCTGGCAACTTTGAGCATCTCACAAGCTAAGTGCAGTTTGGAACAAGCAGCAGGTTGTAGCAGTTGACTGTAGCTCGCAGAGTGGATCGTCCTATCGTCATCTGGTTGGGTTCTGTGGTGAAGCTCACATGGGCATCAGCTGCAATCCTAGGAGTCCACATTTTTCCGTGTGCTCAGACCTGCCGGTCTCCTCGCTCAGCCCTAGCTCCCAGGTGGGGCCCAGTCAACAAGCCACATCGTGCTCCGCAAGCCAGCAAGCCTTCCCGGCTCATCCACACTTCTGAGCATGCTAGGTGGGCAACGCTGCAGGAACGTGCCCAATTTCAGGCCGTTTCTCCACCATTGAATTCCTTCAACTTGCACTCCTGTAGATGCTGGTGATCACTATGAATGAACATACCCCAGCCTCAAGCTTTGGAAGTGGGCTCTGGTGGGCACCAAGTTTACGGTGCCTCAGAAGTTTGTCCCAGTGTGGAAAAGTCAGTCTCTTCCTTCCCTTTTTTGTTTTATAGTCTCTCCTTGTCTGCCTGCCCTTGTTGCAAGTGTGTATTTCTTCAGAGTTCCGATGTGGGTCCACCAATTCATTTAAATGTAAGCCTCCTCAGAGTACTTGATGCGACTCAGTCTCACTCCTCTTCCAAGCCCTACCGGCCTCTACCAGGTTCTTCTTTGGACAAGCTTGTCTCCTGGGCAAGATTCTTCCCTTTAATTTAAATTTAGTACTGGCTGGAGGAGAAATTATATGCTTTCTATTTCTAATATATCAGTGTTCATTTATATTATACATTGTTTTTTCTCAACTTCCACTTCCCCCCCCCCAATATAACTACCGTTGTTCACTGGGCTTTAGCCATGCACATTGTGCCCAGCCCCTTTCCCCAGACACACCGTCTTTGTACAGCTAACTACCACCAAACTGTGTCTGTTAAATGATCACCTTTTAACTGTTGCCTAGAAGTCCACCCATCGGAATACCCCTGAGAACTCTAAATAGACTGAACTCTGGGCTCCAACCCAGATACCTGATGAAATCAGTCTTGGTGTAGGGTCAGGAATAGAAAACCTAGTTTCTAGTGACTCAGCATCAGTTCCTGTGACTCACCCCACATGTCAGAGAAGAATGACTGATCTTTTGGAAGTAGATCACCAAGCTTTTCTTCTGGGGTGTCTCTGAGAAGACTCTGACTTTCTCATTATCCTCTAAGTGTGTTAACCCAAGGATAGAAATGCCTGATACTTCCTCGTAGTACCCTTCCTATCCACTAGAGGTGCTCTCTGTAAAATTAAAAATAGGACTTTGTTCTTTATAGAAGGAGAAGCTAACTCTACAGGAGGTCTTTATTTGTCTTAGTGAATGCTGGATTTGACAGCTCCTGTTTGGTTTTTTTTTTTAATATTTGTGGAGGTTTTTTTTTTACCATTAACACATTTTCTTTTCTCTAATTTAACTTTTTATATTTTACATTGGTTTGAATACAAAGTTTGTATACGTTGTGTTTCACACTATCTAACGTTCATTCACATCGTGTTTCATACAAACATTATTATGTTTTGTAAAATCAATCACCTATGCCCACCATTACACTGTCTTTCCAGATCCCCCCAGGTCTTTCCCCATTTCGTTTACCGCCTCCCTCTACCCACCAAATTGTGTGACCCTATAATTTCCCACATACCCGCCCTCATCCCTCTGCTCTCACCCCTTTCCCCCTTCTCCATACATGTTTTACTAGTTATCCTTCTGTTTTTGCAATAATGTTCCTATACAGTATTAGTCCTTATGAGACTGAGTTCACTCAGCATAATGCCCTCCAGTCTCTCCCAAATTACGTAGTAAGTTTTGAAATCGTGCCTCCTGACTGCTGCATAGTATTTCATCGTGTGCGTGTACCATGATTTCTCAATCCGTTCGATTGATGGCACCGTTTTTATAACAAATTCTAGTGACTTGTAAGACCTACTGTTTTTTTCCTTTTTTGTAAGTGATAACTGAACATTTTTTTTTGTTTTGATATAATATGCCTCAGAAATGAAAATTTATAGTTTTCCCTTCCCTTTTCTTCCCCTTTTTCTTATTCCTTCAAACAAAGCATCACTAGCTTCCAAAGGTACTGCAGCTGAAGGCTCACCAAAAGTTGTGTCTGAGGATTCAGGTATGAGCAAATCTTGACTTGAATACACTCTGTACAATTATTTCTGATTTGAAAAGTGACCGTGTTAGTAAGTAAAAAGTTGTGAAATCTCTGATGGTATGTGTACTTCTCCCAAAATAGTTCTGTTGGATACTATTAGAAGAGAGTGAATGCCTTGGCTTTCTGCACTCTCCCCCTTTTCTCGTGTGAGAAGAGGACAGTTTCCTTCCTGAGTTCCCAGGTGAAGTGCCACAGAAAGGATAGCTCAGTTTGAATTGACAGCCTCACTGGCATTCAGAAGATTTCAACAATGCGAGGCATGGGGTTGGGGTCGAGAGCCCCATTTGGAGCTGGTAATTGCCATTTCCCAAGTATAAATCACAAACACTTTCTTTATACCTAAAGGCCAGGAAAGAAGTCCTGGTGGCACAGTGGGTACAGTGTTCCGCTGCTAACCTGGTGGGTCGTGGCTGGAACTCACTAACCGCTTGGTGGGGACAGACTTACTGCCTTGGAAACTCCATGGGACTGTTCACCCCTGTCCTGCAAGGTCACTATGAAGTCGAACTGACTCAATGGCAGTGAGCTTGATTTTTGCAAACACGAGAAATGTGTGTGAGTGTGTGTGTGCGCGCGCACATGCTCCACTGACATAGATAGTGCATTTATTTATTATAGTTCTCTTCCCAGGAGAACAGTCACAATCATGTCACTCTGAGAGTCTCATACTTGATGGGAGTCATTGGGAGGTGCAAATGGTTAACAACACACCTAGCAGCCAATGACAACATTGGAGTCTTCCCAGAGAATACAGATTCTCAAACTGTTGGAATTACGCTTCTGGAGCCAGCAGAGAATGCCTGGGTCTCGCATCCTCAGCTCTCTGACGGCTCCGTCATTGAACCAAGATGCGCCTTAGCTTAAAAAGGAGCCTTTTAGGCCAGTGCAGTGCAACTGGGCTGCGCTCTGGTGGGCCTGCATGCGGGCACTTGCCGCTTCCTCTCCAACTGTGCCCTGCCTTCCCCGCTTAAGGAAGGCAAACATTTGCTTTGATTAACTAGTCATCTTCAGGCTTATGACTTAAAGCTGGCAACAGAAGAATCATCGTAACGTTTGAGGCTTATGCTGTAAAAAATCTTTTCCAGATATCAAGTTTGTTACATGCTTAAAAGGTATAGGAGAAGGAAGAGTGGTGGTGAAGGCCAGGAGAGAGAGCAGGAAGATGAATTTGAGAATAGATGGTAGATTCAGTGATGTGGTCTGGATATCCATATTTTGGAGATGCTCCTATGATGATTTTGATGTGTAGTCCAGTTGTTGTTGTTGTTGTTGTGTGCCATTGAGTGTGAACCAACCCATAGCTGACCCTCCAGCGGGTTTTCAGAAGCATTTAATCGCACAGGAGGAGACTATCCACAGTTCTCCTGTGGAGCAGCTGGTAGATTCGAACCCTGTGCCTCTTGGATTGCAGCCAGCTTCTTATCACTAGGCGAACAGAGCTCCCTGTAGCTTATTTTAGGAACTTCTAGAAGAGAGCCAGGGAGCCCTGGTGGTGTAGCCTGTAGGGAGTTGTGCTGCCAACGCATGGGCCATTCACCTCCAGTGGTTCAAATCCACCAGGAAGACGATGCAGTCTCCTTGCCTTGCGACTTAGCCTCGGGAACCTGATGGAGTGGCGCTGTGAGTTCTAACCCTCTCAACTGGCAGTGAGTTTGTTTCTTAGGAGAATGACAAGGTGCTTTAAGGAGTTAAGCACTTGACTACTGGCCAACAAGTTGGTGGTTCGAACCTACACAGAGGCACCTAACTAAGGCAGCAGGCCTGGTGGTCTTGCCTCGGTAACCTTCTGGAGCAGTTCTGCTCTGCATACACGTGGACTCCCCAGGAGTCAGAATCCACTCGGTTCTGATTGACTATAGCCATCACCCCTGGAAGCAGATGTGATAGGGAACCCCACAGGCAAATTGGGCCACTGAAGCGGGTTGCTGTTGACTCATCATTGGAGCGCACTTTATATTTGTGGAGAGCAAGCATGCACTCGGCTTTTCCCCGCTCAAATCTGGGGAGCCAGAGCGGAAGCGTCCCGGTTGTCGTGAACTCCATGTTATTGGTAGAAATGGTCTCGGTTTGAGGAGTTAAGTGCTGATGCTCTGTGAGGACGCTAGCTTACTTTCTGCTTTTCTTCCTGGAGGTTTTAGCATTAGTATCAAATCTTCTTTAGGGCGTGAGCAAGAGCCCTCATTTGTAACATCCCATCATTGAATAAGACACGGCACCATCTCACACAACCTACCAGGGGTGACGCATGCACAAAGCATTCGGGAATGTATTGCTCACAAGGCGCTTGGGAGCATGCTGTGGCCTTTCTCGAGCCTTCTTCCCACTGGAAGCCCTCCCCAGAGGTGCCAGATGATCTCTGTCCACTTCATGACCTCCCTTGAGCGTTCTAGAGGGTTACCATTTTTCCAGCCTCTTCCCAGCTAACTGAGAAGCCAGGATCCAGCAGTTGCCCTGGCTCTGAATTCACAGAGTGATATGCCCTGGCAGGTTTGGCAGATACCCACACCTCCGAAAAGCAGGCTGCCACGTAAGGTGGATGTCAGGGTGGGCCAGGCCTTACCCAGAGCTGTGTTGTCCAGACGGCCTCCTCTTGCACCTGGTGGAGACTTCCCCAGTCCTGCCCGAGGGATGTGCGTGGAGGCAGGAGAAACAGCCCTCCTGCTCATTGCCACCACACTTGGCGGTGCTAATGGTGATGGTGGCGATGAAGGGCTGGGGCCGTGTTATGGTGGAAGGAGGATGTTGCTGAAAATGTCTAAGTGTACATGCAGCCCAGTGGAATTGTTAATAAAGTTACAGGCCAACCTAGCTCTGCAGAGAGCACTGCCCTGGGGTGGCCTGGCCCTTGTGTCCCTGGGCCATGCTATGGACTCGTAGGCTGTCCCCCTCACTCTGCCTTTTCCTGACTGTTGTCGGTGATTTGAGCCCTGTGGCAGCTGTCACCAGCAGCTTTATTGGTGTCGAGCAGTTCTCTCCTCCATTACCTGCTTCTGCCTGGACCTTCTTGGCAGTGCTGGAGGAACTCCATTTGTTGTTGTCAGGTGCTGTCGAGTTGACTACGACTCACAGCAACTCTGTGAATAGCAGTTCAGAACATTTCCCTGCCCTGTGCCAGCCTCCCCGTTTCTGCCATGCCCAAGCCTGTTGAGAACCACATTTTTTTCTTTTTTTTTTTAAATTTAGGTTGTTTATTTTTCATTTCAATGAACATCTACAGAGATTTTGGGATTCCATTCATTCATTTTTAAGGTGGAAAATTTAGGACTCTTCTCTGGTGGCCTAGTGGCAAGAAGCTGCACTGCAGTCCCACAGGCACACAGTTCGAGGCCACCAGCTGCTCTGAGGGAGAAGGATGGGAAGTCTCCTCCTGTGAGATTAACTGCCTCTGAAAACCTGCCAGAGGGTCAGCTGTGGGTCGGTTCTGCATTTTTGTTGTCTGTGTTCTGGAGGGAAGGAGACTAAGATTCTTGGGCCTCGGAATCCATGCCCCAGCCAGGAGGAGAACCCAAGTCCTGGGACTCTCAGCCAGGTCCCTGCTCATCAGCACATCTCGCCACATCTGTCTGTCAGTCTATCTGTCACCAGCAGGGCTAACCCCTCCTCCCACACCCCGTCCTGCCCCAGGAAAAGAAAAGTAGATAATTGCTGTTGACAGGGGGCCGATCGGTTGCGGTTGCCGTAGTTTGTCTTGGGGTGTGGTATCTTCACACTGCCAGCACTTCTACCTACAGACTCCTTGAGAGCGGGAGGCCCGAGAGGCAAGAGGGGCTTGGAGCCAGCAGCAGGCAACCTGCTCAGAGGGCTCCCCCAGCCCTGGGGTGAGTCTCTTATTCTTCACCCCAAGGCAGCCCTCATGGCTCGAGGAGCTCCTCCCCTCTGGGCCCCATTCTTTGCTGCCTGGGATTTGTGGGAGGGAGAGGTTCTTCCATCAGCATCTTGGCGCATGCGCATGCAGTGGGGCAAGAGGGGCATCAGCGCAGTGAGCTTCTCTCACTTTGTTTTGAGGCGATGGCTACACTGCAGAGGGCAGAAGCCGAGGGCCTCGCGTGCCCTGATGACAACGAGGCGAGGTGCTTAGCTCAGGAGCACACCTCTCTCACGCAGCTGACCATGTCTAAGGGGAGCTGCCCCACTGTGGGGTTTTGAGTGTGGTTCACATTTCCCAGCATTTCCATGTCCCCTTCCTGCCCTGCATAGCTAACCCTGGGATTTTAACAAGCGTCATAAACTCAGGCTGCTTTGGGGCGAGGAGGGTGTTTATCTTTGGAGCACCATGAAGGAGGGTGAGTCGTGTTCTCTGCTTCGCCAGCACATGTTCCACTCATGGTCCAGTGCTGGATTTGGGGTCTTTAAATCCGTGAGAAGGAAATAAGAAACTAAAGGAGTGCTGTTGTCGTTTCAGGGGGTAAAAAAACCCCAGACCCAACAAACTTTGTGAGACCATGGTCGTATATGATCCATATGGTCATATGGAGGTTACCCGAACAGATGTTAAGCAACATGTACTTCTCTGGAAATTCTGTTCTCTCTGCTCAATTTTCCTTACCTTTTTAGAACATTTCATGATTGGGGTGGGGGGTGGGGCGGGAATGGCAACACTCGCTAAACTTGACCCCAGTGACTGGTTTCTCAAGCTGTCTCCTGTGAGGGCTGGGAACATAAAAGAGGATTTGTGTCTTTGTGAATGTTTCAAATGATGCCAGACAAATTGTGATGAGGAAGTCGTCTCTAAGGTCATGCTTCACATTTCAGGAGGAAAAGTCCTACGATTGATACGCTACTTTAATGGTCATTCTGTATCATGTGCTGTCTGGTTTGGTCATAGAGATGTGGCACACAGGAGCATTTTCTTATTGGAAAAGCTGGGTAGCTCGTTTCAGCTGCCCTGGGACCTCTGGTGCCTGTGGCCGCGTCCCTTTGGTCGTATATGTCAGGAAGCATGGAGTCCTGGAGGCTTCTTCCTAGCTTTCGGAGGACACTAGTTTACAGTCTCTGACTAAGCTGTTGTGATGAGCCCTCATGTGTGAATGCAAGACGGTGTATGAGAACCTTTAGTAAAGCTTGTCGTTTTAGACTGGAATTTCTTAGTCAACTGCGATTTGAGAATGGCTTCATAGAGAACTGTGAGGAAATGGACAGATTGGTTTTTTCTCTCCTTTTAATGATGCCTTTAACTTTAGCTGTATCTCATGTCACCAAAACCTAGTATGTCAATATTTATACGTTCCATTTCTTTCAGATCAGGGCAGCATGAGTGTGAGGAGGTGTCCCAGGTCCCTACTTGGACACCTGTGCCTCAGTTTACCTGTTGCTCTCTTTCCCACTAGCTGATGTGGATGGGGTCGGTAGGGCAGGCTTCAGCTCCATTGCTCATAGGGTCACTCTGAATCGAAGTTGACTCGACAGCACCGCCTTGAGCCCTGTGGAAAATGGTACAAACGAAACCCAAGCAAACAACGACTAATCTTTGTTTCAGCCACTCCCAAGGATCCCGGCAGTGTCAAAGCAAGACCAAGATCCAGGTAGTGTTTCTTTCCTTTCTGCTTTGATGCCCTTTCCGCCCGCCCTCACTTCGGCATGAAAACCCTCAACTCGTGCTCTACCCCATCCATGCTCTTCTTTTTGAGTTGAAGCTTCGCCTGTGGTCAGTTTCACTGGTTGGCCCATTGGCACGCACAGCTGCCGGGGAGAATCTTCTGTTTCTGTTCTCAAGGGTGGAGGTGGGTGCTCTCTGGTCCCCTGTCCTGGAGAGGTGGCCTAGGCCATGAAGACCCAGGTCTCTCAGCATGGTAAAGAACAGGGGGAAGTAGTTTTGGAAAGAGGAGAACATTAGATGCGGTAAGTAACGCTGAAGTACACTCTTGTGACAAAGGTAAATACCAAGCAGGAAAGAACGAATAGCAGCTGGAGTAGGACATGAGAAGGAGTTCAGTGAGGAGTGACACTTCGGCGTGCTGAAGTCAGGGAAGCGGAGAGTATCATCCATCCACCCCCTCTTAGTGACGCCTTGTGGCTTCAGGGTTTTTCAATAGATGAGGAGGAGGAAGACAGAGCTGTGGGTCAGATGTGCAGAGGAGGCGCAGAGGCCAAACAGGAGACACCGGGTGGTTGAAACAGCCAAAAGGCGAGATACTAAGCAGGAAGATTTTTCTCCTCCTAGAACGTGAAGGACAAGATTAGCCGCTACGTGTGTGCTTTCTACATTCTGCTTAATGCCATCTCTCCTCCTGTCATCAGTAGACATATTCCTGAAAATGGGAATTTCATTTGCATCTTCCCTTACGTGCTTGAAAGACTGGTATTTAAGAAACTCTTGTCTCGGGGAGCTCTGGTGGCCTAGTGGCAATGAATTGCAACTACAATCCCAGAGGCGCACGGTTCCAATCCACCAGATGCTTTGCGGGGGAAGGAGGGACAATCTCCTCCTGTACCAGTCAGATCTGATTTGATGGTACACTCACACAAAAGTAATAGAGTAAAAAAAAAAAAAAAAAGGAACTCTTGTCTCCTTGTAACCCAAGGAGTTATCTCTTCGTTTATCTTTTACACCTGGATATTCCAAGTTGGGCTTTTGTTCCCTTGTTTATACAGTTTGGCTATCTATAGATTTTTTTTTAAACCCCAATAATGGAATAACTAATTTTTATATGAAAGTCGTGACATCATGCTTGGCCCATTTTAAAGAAGGGTAAATGAATCTCTTACAAATGGTCTATATTGCTTTGGGGCTGTAGAATGATAATGTGCTGTGCCTTTTATGAACTACATTAACTAAGTTTAGCTTCCCATTTTTGGGGCTCCTACTGGCTTCTCCTTGCTCCCCAAGCGAGCAAAGTTATAAGATCACATGGTCATGTATTCTCTTACTAACGTGCTTGACTAACTGATACATATTTCTGCATATCTGTGTGCATATATGCATATTGCTGAGTATGCATGCATATCCCATACAGTCCCATACACAGTTCCATATAGAATGTATTTACATTTTCATATGGAAAGTTGCCTTTCTATTTTACACACACACACACACACACACACACACACACACACACACACACACACCCCTACACACACATCGAGCTGCAGTGGTAAAGGACATAGGGGGTTACACTGCTTATCCAAAAACTGTACCTCTCGGGGAGTTCGAACCCACCAGCTGCTCCAAGGGAGAAGGGTAGGCCGTCTCCTCTCTTATGATATGCAGCCTCAGAACCCCAACAGAGGATTACACGAATCCATTCTGAACTGATGGCAATGAATAGATCCGTCTCATGAGCTAACTTCACCCCGAAGGCTTTTTAAAAATGATTGCTAATCTTAGCTAGTTTCAGATCAAGGAAATAAAATTGTCTTCTTTAAAAAAAATGAGGCTTTTTAACATGTGAGGCAAAGAGGGGGAAATGACCATTCTAACACCGCTACAGTCCTCATTTCCTCATTTGCTGATTTCTTGCATACTTACATTTTAATTGATTGTAGTCATAGCGGCACTGCAATCCCATAAGCTTGTGGTTCAAATCCACCAGTTGCTCTGTGGGAGAAGGACAGGCAGTTTCCTCCCATGTGATTCACTGCCTCTGAAAACCCACTGGAGGGTCAGCTGTGAGTCAGTTCTGACTCATCGGCCTACAACAACAGTCATAAGACAGGGAGCTCTGGTGGCCTAGTGGGCAAGGAGTTGTGCTGCCAATCCAAAGGCCGACTGTTCTAATCCTCTAGCTGTCCCATGGGTGAAAGTTGGGCATTCTCATTCTTTGCCATTTACGGCCTCTGAAAACCTGCTGAGAGGGTCAGCTATGAAGTTCGTTCTGATTCAGTGACACACAACAAGTCATAGTTAAGCAATCTCACTCATTTGATATTCAGCACCTTTCTGTGTGAACATGTAGATGCATGAATTATACATGGACATAAGATGGAAAGGAGACCTGTAGTATGTATGGGGTTGTATGAGACAGGTGTGTACACTCGGTGAACTCTGTAGGCCCTGGCACAACCCTGTTTCTCCTGCTCTCGCAGGGTTTTGCCTTAGTTGTGGCCCTGCTTTTGCTTACGTTACTCAATTTCTATCTGCCACAGAATTCTTTCAGTCTCTTCTTGCTATGTCAGTCCTCTCAATTTTATTTCAAGTGATGAGTCCCCATATAAGCACTTTGCTTTTATAGCCGTTGTCCCAGTTATCAGCAGTGTTGGAACATTCTTCCATACGAGCTCTGGTGGTCTAGTGGATAAGGAGGCGCACTGCCAACCTAAAGGCAAGTGTTCGGATCCCCCAGCAGCTCCACGGGATGATGAAGGACCTTCCCCTCCCTAGAAGTGTGTGGCAGGGCCAGCTGTGAGGCGGTCCCTACTAACAGCAGGGAGTTTCAGGGTTTGTTGCTTTCTTTCAGTTCCCATGCACATTTTTTGCATTGCTTTGTCTTACCACCTGGTCGAGAGACCATCTCAGAGTTTGTCACATGGCCATGTGTTGGCTTCGCTGAAGTTTGCAGCCTCGCATGATAAACAAAACCCTCAGCTCGCCCAAAGTAACCTTGAGGCACTCATTCAGGAAAATAGACGTTCACTCTGTTAATTAAAAGCGGAATGGCCAAGAGCGGAAGGAGCCTGGTAGACCTTGTAGAATCTACTATTTGAAGAACTCCTCAATTAGTCCACAAAGAAGAGCTTGATGAGGTCACTGTGTCCTCAGGACACAGCTCTTAACTCCGAGGTTGTGCTGTTCCCCCTTGACATGGAGTTAGTGGACAAGCTGAGTAGCTTGTGGGCATGGACACATTCACCTCCTTAATGCTCTTCTCGATTACCCTCTGAGAAGCTGGATCTTGAAGCCTGTTTCTGGGCTTTCAACCAGTGCACCCAGGTTGAAGCCATTTAGAAAGTAAGGACTCTAGCATACACTGTAGCCTCTGTGGCCAGGGGACTTCTCCCTTGACTCCCAAGGCAGTGACAGAGCGTTTTGTTAATGGAATCTGGAAGCCGAGCACTTGGACGTGGACGTGCACCTCTGTAACTTTACTGTGACCTTTGGTCACCTCTCTAGCTCCTTTTTCTTTAAATGTCATAGCTGGAGTCATATTCTCCAGGTTGCCTACTTGGTTTTACCCTAAGATTAAAGGATAAGGCTCGAATGGGGCTCTGGCTTGAAAACTTCCAAGATACTCTCATTTTGTCAGGACGTGAGTACCTGGCTGGCATTCGCTTTCCTGGTCTGAATGTCACATCAGAGCCTTACCTTAAGCTTGTCTACCTCAGTTTCTTGCATTGGCATGTGATCAGGAGAAACATCTGCACTTGATACCACAAAGCCCTTCTCTTAGTACCTGTGACGGGGGGCTTCCACACAAGTCTTGTTAATCTGCTCACTAGACACTGATTCAAATTTACATAAAACTTTTGCTCTGGGACACGTTTAAGTCCAAGGCAGCGTGAGAGCAAGGACTTGAGGAGCCCGCGGGGCACAGTGGAGTTTGAACAGGCCTCACAGCGCTCTGTGCCTGCTTGGGATCCCTTCCCCCTTTGTGAGCATCTCCGCATCGGGAGTTAAAGCTTTGCTGTTGCCTTTCTGACCTTCCCCTATTTTACTGCAGATCTTACTCTAGCACTTCCATAGAAGAGGCCATGAAAAGGGGCGAGGACCCTCCCACCCCACCACCGCGGCCACAGAAAACCCACTCCAGAGCCTCCTCCTTGGATCTGAATAAAATCTTCCAGCCCAGTGTGCCAGGTGACTTCTCACCCTAGCCAGCCCTCGTTGGAGCCAGTGGGTGGGGGGGAGTGTGTGTGTGTAGCGGGGTGCGGACCTTGGGGGCCCTGGCGAGCATGGAGGAAGAGCCCACCTGGCCGGCCTCCATCCCATAAAGGATTGGTGTTACTATGGTATTCTGGGGAGGGGAAGGATGGGGTCATTTCTAGACAGAGCACTCGGATCTGGAGCATTATCTACCCCTTTTAAAAGCAGGAGAGTAAAGGTGCTGCCACCCTAGATGACCCCTGAGGGGTTGAGTCTTGTCCTCAGCATCATGGTAACTTATAGGCAAAATGGCTTTCTCTCGTTTTCTAAGACACTTGTGAAGTTCTTCTAGAACCGTCTCCTGCATTTATCCTTGTGAGGCGGACCCTCCCCACCGTGGGGTTTGATGCTAAGGCGCGTCTAAAGCCTGCTGATAGTTCAGTGGCTGAGGTCTAGGTCGTTTGGGTGGGAGAGGAATCTGGGGTGACCTTTGGGTGGGGACTTTTTGAGACACTTACTGGACAGCTGGGCTGGAGGTGGCGGAGGCCATTGGGAGCTGTCTGATGCCCCCTCGAGAGTCTGAGGGACAGAAAATGAGAGCGATAGCCCTGCCTTTGTAAGGTGCTTGACTCTACCCAAATCCCAAATGTTACTCTGGGAACAGCCAGAGCCTGTGCACTGACTAATGCAGGCGAGTTATAAATACGCTGACTGCCTGGAACTCTTCCCAGGTCTCTGTGCATCTTAAACCAAGCCCGCAGCAGATGCTTGTCATTGGAAGATTATGATCTTTTCTCCTAAGGCGAGGAAAGGCTCTCCTTGGCTAACTCGTCAGCATGACCTTGGTGTCCAGGCTGAGTGCGGCGTGTTTTATTTGTTCTAATAAAGTCCTCTGCTCGCAGCAAAGCCAGAGATGGTTTTTTAATGCACTCGAATCTGAAACTCCCTCTGAAATTGGATTCTCTGCCATGAGTTCATCAGGTAGAAATTCGCCTTGACTTGCCTCCTCACCCCCGTGCTTTGATCCAGATCCTGGCATAATTTCACAGTAACCAGTGTTTGGGGATGAGAGCAGCCATAGGTGGTGATGCTGTAAAAATTTCACAGGGCTGGTAGAGTATTACCCGGGCGGTTTTCATGTGGATGTGAGAAGATTGAGACAGCCTGAGCCTCAGTACCTGCCGCCCCCTTCAAAGGTGGGAGGCTGCACGGTGTACACATCCCTCAGCTCGGGTAACCTACCAGGAGCTGGCTGGGTTTGAGGAGCAACGCCCCAGGGTTTTAAAGGCATTCTGGGATATGGTGGGAAGGGTAAAGGCAGAGGTGAGGCCCAGCGCAGCTGCTTATTCATGTGGAACTTCCAGCAGGAGGCAGAGCCTCTGTGCATCCCAGAAGCCTCCTTTGCAAACAGAGCTCTGTAGAACAGCTGGTGCCGGGCCTCAAACTCGGGAGGTTTCAGGGACATGGCACACTCCCAGTTGCCTCAGATGTGACACACCCTCCCCACTCTCCCTTTTTTGTTCCTCCTACCTCCCCTCTGATCTCTGGTTCTAAACAAGGCCCAGGTTGCTAATGATTTGGCCTCTCCGTCTTTGTTGTGGGGTTAAAGGGTGTAACCATTTAAAATGCAGATCGGCGTTGCCTGTTGCCCGCCTGCCCGAGAATGTTTCAGAACTCCTTGCCGACACTGGTTTGTGTTTGTATTTTTGGTCCTTCCCAATCTAGTAGGCGGAAATTTCCATTTCACTCAGTGCCGCTCGCCATCTTCCCCTGTCATTTCCTTTCATCTGCTTGGTAGACTCGCCCAGCCTCTGTGCCCGCAGGTCTGGTGGCCTAACCATAGAGAGCTCTTCACATTGGCCCCTAAGGGGCCAGATCCTTCTGATTTCGCTCACACACACGTGCAGGTGGGTGTGGTGGTGCTGATTGCACGGGGACATTGTCCCCCCAGCCTCCGCACCTCTCCTCTGCCCAACTTATCACTTCACACAGACCCTGCCCAGGTCCTCCAGATAGAAAAAGGGGTGCTGCAAACCTTGCTGGATGATTCGGCTAGAAGGCCTCTGAGGCAAACCTTGCTGGATGATTTGGATTTGACTTCTGAACTGTAAGTGGAGCCTGGACTTCTTGAGGAATTGTCCCTGGGAACTGTTTATTGTGAGATAATCTTGCATCTACCACTCTCTTCCCTAATAAACCTCATTGTGGGTGAGAGAGAGAGAGAGAGAAAGAGAGAGGGAGAAGGGGAGGAGAGGGGAAGGGAGCGGAGGGGAGGGGAGGGAAGGAGAGAGAAGGAGCCCAAGAGATGAAATTAAAGAGACTTGTATTGAGAATGAAGGCTAAAAAGGAAGCCAGTGTTTGGGGAAAAAAAAGAGATTCTTAGGAGTAGGAAAAATGGAATGAGGCTAAGACAGAGGGGCCGAAAGTGGAAGGAGCAATGGAAATGAGATGTGAAGATGCAAGAATGAAGGAGGGAAATGATGAAGCAGGCTGAAATGGCTCTTGTCCAACGGAGAAGGTGTTCTCCAAAGGCAAGGGAACCAGTAGACGAGGACTCCAGGCCACAGGCCCTGAGGTCAGAGTTCAGGGAGGATTAAGAGAATGGCTTAGGAGTCCATGGCATCGGTGCCTCCAGATCTGTGGCGAGAGAGAGCGCTAACAAAACAAAGAGGGAAACGAACCAAGACCAGTTTCGGATGCAAATCTGTAAAAATGGCCAAGGCCAGCTTTGGAAGAGATGAGCTGAGTGGTTCAGATGTTAAGACTTATGAAGAGAGGATGAGGATGGCCAGGGATCTTAGGGAGATGGTCCTGAAGGAGGCCTGGTGGCAGGTGTGTCGTGGGTCAAGCTGCTCGCCAAATCCTCCAGCTGCTCGTAGGAGAAAGGCGGGCACGTCATGAAGGAGGTGGGACTCAACGGCAGTGAACTCAGGGCTTTGGCTTTAGACGACCCAAGAGGAGTCTCTAACTGTGTCCCGGTTAAAGTACTTGGAAAGGGCAGCAGTCTGAGCCCACCCCCGTGAGAAGAAGGAACAGCCTGTTCTCAGAAGATCTACAGCCTTGGAAACTCTGGAAAGTTCTGCTCTGTGGATTGGAATTGACCAGCGGGCCTTAGTTTTGGTCTGGGTTTGACTGCCCAGGAGGCTCTGCAAGGTGCAGAGTAATGTGTTACGTGTTCATCTGTTGAGTGAGATATTTGAAAATTTGAATCTACCCAGAAGCAGCTTGGAAGAAAAAATCCAGCCATCCACTTTTGAGAAAGGAGCCACAGTGTCCTCTCCGGAGCACAGTTCTCTGACACTCGTGGGTCCCCTGAAATCAGAGTCGACTCAGTGACATCTGATCTGGTCACGCTACAGTAGGGTTTAGGGGCTGGCATCAGACCAGCATGGGAGGTTCGTCCATAGAGAAGCCGCTAGGGTGCGCCCACTGTGTCTAAATGACAGTTCGCCTGGTCTTGCCGGTCCACGTGGAGAACCCATCTCCTCACACTCTGAAGTGGCTGCTGCTTTCGAGCTGCAAGAAGAATGTGCAAGACAGTCCACGTTAGCGATGAGACTCACGTTGAAAAAACCAAAAGACTACGGAGGCAGGCCAACTCGGATGCAGTGAGGGCTGGCTTGTAAAGCTCCATACGCACCACGCCTGTTACAGAAATCCTGTCGAAACAATCTTAAAAAGCTCCTTGTGAAGCCAGTTCATTGTTGTAGACCCGAACCTCCTCCTCTTGAGAGCGATTGTTTTCATGATGCCGTTTTTGGCTAGCAGGCATTTCATCCCTTCCACCGTGTGCTGTGAGAAACTCCCTCTGTCCCACTCTTGAGTCTGACCTGGCCCTTCGGCGGCTGAGCCTAAGGTTGGCAGCCTTTTTCCATGGTGATAGTAAGAAGCCCCGAGCTGCCAGTTCCACACACACAGTCATTTAGCATCCAACTGGCAGCATGTGGAGGAGACAGAGCCATTCTTTTAAGGCTTCAGACCCTGAACTCCCATCACTGCCACTGGAAAACCTCAGTGCAACCTTGTCCCATGGTCAAGAAACTGCGTCCCCTGGATCTACCTCACTGCCTAGTGGCTGGGCGGGAAGCCTCTTCCCTGGTCGACCAGCCACTTCTCAGTGACAACGGTGTTTTCCTAGAAAAGAGGAGAGTGGCTGTGGATTGGGGCGGCTGATTTGGCCAAATACATTGTGATTCACAACGTCCCAAGTGGTATTGGGACTGAAGAAAACACAGCCATGTGGGGGACTAATGACCTCACTCTGCTTTTGACAGACCGATAAGAAGAACTTGGTGAGGTCCGTCCACAGATAAGAGAGGATGGTGGCCCGGATCACCTCCCGAAGATGCTCACAAGCACAAGGCAGCTGGGTGGAAAGGCATAGAAACGAGATGGCGAAGACAAGGCGTAGGGGTCGTGTGTGTGTATATGTAGAGACCATTTCCAGAAGGACACTTAGAGGAAGACATTGGTAACGGGGTCACCTGTGGGGAAGGGAAGAGGGTTCCGGGGGACAGAAGTGGAGGGGGAGTGAGTTGTCAATGCATACTCATTTTTTTGCGTTTTAATTTTGCACTATATATAAGTATTACCTGTTATAAATATTTCTGTAAAAAGTTCTGTGTCTGAGGGTACCAGAGATGTTCTTGAGACCTAGACGAAGCAGCCCTTGGGCCAAGGGCATGCCTCCGGGATCATCCTCGTGGCTCCTGTGTTTCCTGTAGAGCAGCCAGGATCTGGCCTTATTCTGAATCGTAGTGGACCTTTGGCGAGATCCTAGTGAACCTGTGGACGCCGTGCTGCATCACATGCGGAGGTCCCCGATGTATAATGGCTCCTTTTGTGAGAGGTGATGGACTGGTCTATTCAGCTCACACCAGCCCGATCCATTCAATATCATGAACAATTCCAACAGTCGTTTGACAGAACAGTTTGACCAGCGCCTGGTGATCATTGATTGCCTGGGTCCAGAGGTGTGTTGGCAGATGTTTTAA